ATAAATTGGCGGAGTCTGTTCACATATGTTCTCAAATGGCACAATTAGATCTGTTGTCTTGTTACCCAGGTTTCATAAGCAAATGTCAAATGGAATAAACAGTGAGCAGTTTACAAATGCACATCAAGTGCTTTGTGAACCTGAAAACATTTGATAAATGGTGGCTATGACCAGTGTGCCAAGGTACGAGGCAGCTTACATCCATGGCGCCGTTAGAATTTGTTTGTTTCTCAACTCGAACAAAGGGAGCGCCTCATTTGGAGACCTTTGCTCTGCAAAGGGGTGCTGCCTGACGCTCCCTCGCCCCATTTTGTGTTCTTTAAAGAGAGAATGTTAAAGCTGCCTAAAACCAAATTATCACGCCTTTATTCTAAGTTTTGAGGTTCCCTGGCACATTACCAACCTAAAATCAGTTCAGGCATCTCTATCCTGTCTCTCAGGCTCTGAAATCTCAACTTTTGTAGATGTGCCCGTCTTCCAGGACTAACCCATGTTCTGATTCTAATTTGTCTGAATTTGGTTTAGCCTACTGCAAAGTCAATCCAAATGAAAGTGAATTGGGGGGGGTGGGGAGGAGGAGATGGGAAATGGAGCCTGGACACAACAGAAAGGAGGATGAGACTTGGCAGCAGCCTCGGGCTTGGTGTCACTCCCCATCTCTGGGTTTTAGTCTCCTACTATGTAAAATAATGGAGTTGGACTAAATGAGCTCCAGCATTCTTAGAAGCTTTAAAATTCTCTACGATAGGCAGGCATGAGGAGGGCAGAGTTACATCTTATAAACATGGAATTTGAAAACCATCTAGTTCAAATCCCTCATTTTACAGATGAAGAAACTGAGGCCCTGTTCACCATTAGCTGGTAGTAGAAACTAGAAAGAGCCCTCGTGAGGCAGCAATGTTCTGCAAAAAGAGCTCTGGGGTCCAGAAAGCCTGGTTAGAAAGCCTGGTTTTGACATCTACTACCTAGTTCTAACCTGGGGCCACTGGATTCCTTCTGGCCCTCAGCTTCCCCATCTGTATAATGAAGGAATTTGACCAGACAACCTCCAAGGTCCAGTTCTAAATCCTCTTCTACTGAGCTAAAATCTGAGGCCTCACCCATCCTGAAATGTTGTAGCTGGCACAGGCAGGCAGGAGAACAGCAAATTTACACATTACAGAAAAGGTGTCCATTAGTAAACAAAGTTCTTCTCTGAAACTCTAAGCTGAGGACCCAGGTGCCCAGTTTAAAGAGTGCTTTAGGACTGCATACATTCACTAGGGAAATCCTGGTGACCAGAAGCTCTGATGAATTACCTCTCTGCCCCTCCCCTTTCTGGGAAGAAGGAACAGCTGAAAACACAAGGTCACTGAAACAAATGGAGGGGTCAGTAAAGACCACAGAGTGCAACATTCTCAGGTTCCAGAGGAAACAGGTCCAAGGAAGAAAAGGGATCAGCTTAATATGGTGGCTGAGATGATGGAAAGGGCACGGGTTCTCTCAGAAATGTGGGCACAGTGGAACATGTGCTTCTTCCAGATCTAGTAAAGGGGAAAGGAGGATAAGGACTCTGCCAGCTGGCCTCAGATCAAGGTAAAAGAAATTCGACCTCACTAGCTGTGTGACCCTGGGTAAGTCACTTAACCCCACTTGCCTTTAAAAAAAAAAAAGAAAAGAAAGAAATTCAACCTCAATGGAGCCCAGCAGATCTTGGTTCTAATCCTGGCTCTGCTACTTGCTCCCCATGTAAGGTAAACCCTTTGGTTCCAGCTGTTAATAAAGTTCTTATGTTAAAATCTGAGCTCTCTCCCAGTTCCAAAGCTCAGATCTACCTTTGACCTCAGTTTCACCATCTGAGAAATAAATGACCCTTTGATCACCTACCTCACTGACTGTGGGAAGGAAATCACTTTTTTCAAGAGCTGCAGGGCCATAAGCTATCTCAATGACACCAACAACTCTAAGTCTGGAATTAGAAAATACTGGAAAAGGGCCTGCCACTAAGAGAACATTACAAATGGATGATCTAGTCCCACCCCCTCATTTTACTAAGGCCAAAGATGGAGAAGTGACCTGCTCAAAGTAACCCAGACCAAAAGGTCGTAGATTTAGAGTGTGAAGGACAGTTAGATAAAAGGGACCCTAAGGCACCATATAAATATCGGCTACTACTAATCCAACGCCCTCCAAATCACACAGATAATAGGATCAGAGATTTAGAGCTGCAGGGGGCCTCCACTGTTGTTGTTCAGTTGTGTCTGACTCTTTGTGGGTTTTCTTGGCAGAGACTAGAGTGGTCTGCCATTTTCTTCCCCCAGCTCATCTTACAGATGAAGAAACTGATGCAAACAGGGTAAAGTGACTTGCTCAGGGTCACACAGCTAGTAAGTGTATGGGGTCACATTTGAACTGAGGTCTTCCTGACTCCAGGCCTAGCACTCTGACACTGTGCCCCGCAGCTGGCCCTAGATGGGAAGAAGGCCTTCAGGGGCCATCTATAATCCAATCCCCCCTCCCCCTATTTGAAGCAGGAAACAGAAGCAGAGAGAAGTGACTTGTCCAAGGTCACAGGCAGACAGTGGCAAAGGCAGGATTGAAAGGAAGGGTGCCACAAGACCCTGGGGATTTATCTAGTCCAACCTGACCTTGGGGGGGGGGGAGGTGGAGACTTGCCAAAGCTACACAGGTAGCAAACAGCAGAGCCCCTTTTAGACCAAGACACTCCAAAAGCCTATAAAGAAATAAGTTAAGCACTTGAACAGAATTTCAGTAAAGTTAGCTATGACCAATTTCTGGCACTAAATGAATGGGAACTGGAAGGAGTAAACATTTCTCAGCTTTGCATGTTACCTTTCCAACACTGACCATGTGCTCGGGAAGAAAAACTGAAGAAAGTGAATTATAATCAATAATTGATTTAAAGAAAAGACTCAAACTTCAATGGAAGCTATATAGTATCATAAAGACAATAATTTCACTCAACAGCAGAAGCAGGATTGCAAGCTGAGGCCTCCTAGGTCTTCCTACCTTAGAAGTGAATCACCAAGTCTGAAGGCAGCCACACCCCACACACACTCCCAGGTCACTGCTTTGAAAGGCAAGGGGCACTTAGAGAGAATCTACTTTAACCAAGGAAAATGAGACCCAAAGAAGTTCAACGACCAGCCCCAGGGCACACAGAGGCTGAGTGGCAAGGCCAGGATCAGAGCCCCAGGATCTGCAACTGCCACTCCAGCTCTCCTGACTTAGGAGATGCACCCTCTGGTCAGCCCCATCCCACCTGCATGGGGAACAAGACCTTAGAAATCACCTCATCCAAGTGCTAGAGAATCCAACCCCAAGGGAGGAAAATGAGGCCTACAAGCTCAAGGACTCAGGTGAAGAGCTGTGGGCAGGGTCCACATCCCCCCTCTCCAAATCCAGACCTCTCGCCTTAAAGAGAGATCATCACCCCACCCAGGGGACAGCCCCACACCTTTAAAACTGGGAGTGATACTCGGCTGTCATCTAGTCCAATCCCACCCACCCAGGACCGGCTTCCAGCTGGGCCCTCAGCCTCCAGAGCCACAGTGAGCTGCCACCTCAGCCCCTGCCCAGGCAGCTGAGAGGGGCCACCAAGATGACCCAGTCTCATCCGTTCATTTTATAGAGAAGGAAACAGACCTGGGACAAGGAAGAGCATCTGGTCCAAAACCCATCAGCTGTGGGCTGTGTCTGGCAGAGACATGGAGCTCTGGACCTCAAACTCCAAATCCAGCCTTCTTTATCTGGTATCAGCCTGCCCTTTCACCTCAGAGGTGAGCTGTCATCCCACCTCTGCTCCCTCAAGTCACAGGCTCACAGCCTTTAAAGCCAGAAGGAACCTAGTCCTACCTTCTCAGTTTAAAAAAAAAAGAAAATTAAACCCTGGCCTTAGGAAAGAGACTCGCTTGGGGTCACACAAGTATTACCACAAATAATATCCATATTATCAACAGCTTAAAAAGCAGCAAGGCGTAGTGGTTAAAGTCCAGCCTCAAACATAAATGGATCGTTACATCGTGGTGGACAAGTCTGGGGCAGTGGAGAGACAAAGTTTCCAAATTCACAAATGGCAAAAAAGTCAGAAGATTTGCATAGGCAAAGAAAGCTCCTCACAGGAAACCTAAGCTGATGGTCTCAGGTGCAGACAGAAAAAGCTAACAGCTCATTTATAAAATGCTTTAAGACGGCCTGTTATCTCTTCTTCACAAGGACCCCAGAGATAGGTACTATCGTTGTTCAGTGGTGTCTGACTCTCTGTGACCCTATTTGGTGTTTTCTTGGCAAAGATTCTAGAGTGGTTTGCCATTTCCTTCTCCAGTGAATTAAGACAAAAAGGTTAAGTGACTTGCCCAGGGTCACACGGCTAATAAATGTCTGAGGCCAGATTTGTACTCAGGTCTTCCTGACTCCAGGCCCACAGCTCTATCCACTTCCCCATCTAGCTAGCTACTTACTATTATTATTCCCACTTTACAGATAAAGAAACTAAGGCTCCGAGCTGGTTACTTGATTTCTCAGGGGTCATGCAGCTATGAAATGTGGGAGGTGCGACTTGAAGCCGAATTTCCTTGAATTTCAGCACTCTACGCGCTAAGCTAGCCTGGATTAGAACCCAAATCCTCAGGCTTCAAATCAAATCTAGAATTCAGAAATTCGTTCCAAGATACTCAGCGAATATTAGCGGCTAACCTCACAAGAACAGGGAAAAAGAGAACCGGCGAGGACTTGTTCAGGGTCACACTGCTAGTGTCAGGGGCAGCATTCGAACCCGGTCTTCCTGACTGCAAATCCACCACCTGGCCGCCTCCGGGCCTCATCGAGCCTAAACGCCTCCTTGTGCCGGGGAGGCACTAAAGAGGCCTAGAGAGGCCAGAAAGGGGCGGAGGCCGGCCTGGACAGGAAGGGCTGCAGGATAATCCCGGCCGGCCGCCGCCCTGGGGAAGCCCCGTGCAGCTAGCTGCCCGCCCGCACACGCGAGCTCCCCCTTCCCTTACCGCTCTTGGGTTTAGACTCGCCGGCAGGCCCCGCCGAGGCTGCGCGGGGCGGCTGCTGTCCTTTGCTGCTGCAGCCCCCAGAGGCTGAGGAGGAGCTGGGGGGCCCGCTGTTCTTGTCCATGTCGGGGGCGGCGCTGCTGCTGCTGCTGGGCGAGCTGTGCGGCATCAACGGGGGCCTCGAGGGCGGCGGCGAGGGTGGCGGGGGGCGCGGCGGCGGCTTCGGTCGGAGCGGAGCGGGCGCGGCGGGGAGCCAGGCTCATGGCGTTGGGGGCCGGCGGCGGACGGCGGGGGCGGCGGCAGCGGTTCTCGGCCTTCATGGCGACATTGTCCTTGCTTCCTTCCTCGGCTTCTCAAACGGGGCGGGCGCGGTGCGCGGAGGGCTCCCGGGCTCGGCGCGGCTCGGGCCTGGCGGCGAAGGCCGGCGGCGGCGCTCGGACGTCCGGGCCGGGCCTGGCGGAGCGGGGCGCAGCGGAGGGAGAGGGAGGACAGGGAGGAGGAAGGGGAAGGAGGACGGGGCGAGATGGAGGGACCGCGAGCCCCGCCCGCCGGCCGGCCGGACACTCTCGCTCTCCTGCCGCGGGGCAGGGGAGAGGGTAGCGGGGCGGGGGTCGGAAACTCGCCTCGCCTCACGGCCGGGCCGAGGCCAAGCTGCTCCGGGAATGGCGACGAGTCGCCAAACAGCGCCGCCGAGAACCCGGATGCACTATTTATAGCGGGGACGCCGAGCCAGGAGCATCCCGGGAAATGTAGTTTGGACCGACTTCCTTTCCCCCGCCCCGCCACCTTCCCGCACAAATACACAGCCCAACCTCCCAGGCGTCTCGCGTCATCAGCCGGCCCCACAACACGGGCTTATGGGGGTTGTAGTTCACAGGGGCACCAGACCAGACCAGCCAGGCTTGCTAGGTGTTGTGGACCGATTGGGAACTGCTCCCGCGGGAAGAAGAGCCACGTGGACAAACAGCATCGCTAAAGTGTCGGGGCGGGGCGGGGCGGGGCGGGGCGGGGGGGGGGAGGCATGGGATGAGGGATGTGTGTGTGTGTGTGTGTGTGTGTGTGTGTGTTTGTGTGTGTGTGTGTGTGTCCACGCGCGATTACACAGACACGGATGTGAATTGGCAGTTTAGTTGAAGAAACATTTAAGCTGCCACTGTCTTCCAGGTGATGTGCTTACAATAGATATGTGTGCATGCACATGCATGTGTCTACGTAGGCATGCATATATGCACCTAGTTGTTTCTATTCAATTCAATTAACATTTATTATTAAGTTATTACTCTGGGCCAAGCATTGCACATGTACACACATTACCTACATAAATATTGGTACATCAGTACATAAGTACTGTGTATGGATTTTAAGTACCTACTGTGTGCCCAACACTGTACCTATCCCTTTGTGTATGCACATGTGTATTATGTATTTAAATACACGTTTATCTCTATGTCTTTGTATATGCTGAATTTAATTCAACAAGCATGAAGCACCTAATAAGCCAGGCATATTTTCCTTTGGGTTTTATATATGTGCATATAAAATAAATACATATGTGTATATAAAATAAATACATATGTGTGTACATGCAGCAATACATACACACGTGTGTATCTTTCTGGAAGATTCACAGCTTTCTTCTTCTTCCCATCCCCACCAGTCTGGATTTGGGGCTCTTGGCCCCCGGCATGGAACTGTGCCACTTGAATGTTAGAGCTCATAGCCATCAAAGCAAATTTATAGTAAATACGATTCAGAGACAGAAGGACTTTAGAGCATAGAATCTGAGTGGAAAAAGTACTAGATCTGGTATCAGAGATAGTAAGTGCCTCTTCTATAAAATAAAAGAGTTGACCAGATGACCTCAAAGGTCCCTTTTAGCTTTAAATCAGTGATCCTAAGGGAACTAGAAGTCCATCCTGTCCAACCCTCTCATTTTTTGTTTAAACCGTACACTTTTGTTTAAAATGTAAACTGAGGTCCAGAGAGGGAAAATGACTTTCTGAAAGTCATATTGGTATCAGAAGAATCAGGATTTGATCCCAAAACCTCCCACTTCAACTCCAATGCTCTTTTTACTACAACATGCTGCCTCCTGGTTAGCATGAGTTCCACCCTTTTCTATAGCTGAGCTTTGGATTTGGTCAGTTCACTTATCACAGACCTGCTGTCTATAATGAGACAGCCCCGACCTAAGCAACAACAAATGATTCAGCACCGACTGTATGGAGAGCACTGGGCCCCACACTTAATCTAGGCACAAGCCAGACCTTCCTGGAACTTGCTAGAGAGAATGAAACATAAATACCTAGGAAAACCACAATACCCAGGATTACTTAAAGAGTCATCAAAGAGGGGCAGCTAGGTAGCGCCACGGATAGAGCACTGGCCTTGGAGTTCAAATCCAGCCTTTGACACTTACCAGCTATGTGACCCTGGGCAAGTCACTTCACCCTGCCTGCCTCAGTTTCCTCATCTCTAAAATGAGCTGGAGACTGGACAACAGCAATACCTCTATGCTTCCTTAGGCTGACTTGGATAGCTATGAAATCAGCATCTCATCCAAGTGTACATTGGCAAATCATAAGTGGTCCCTTCTAATCATGGCGCTGTTTCTAATTTTCAGCAAGATGATTCACACATTCTGAGAAATCATCATTAGACGTCTAACAACAACAACATTTTAAAAAGTATCCCAATTCAGCAAAACAAGACAATTCCACGTATATCTGCAACCAGAACTACGGTAGCACCAATAACAGGGAAAAAAAGCAGTTGATGGAAGATAATCATAGACAGGGATCCTGGTTTGTTCATTTTCCTCCCTTCCCCCAGCACATTTATGGAACAATTTAAACTTTATAAAGTGCTTAACTGGCATTAGCTACAACCTTAGAAGATAGGTCTGCTGGGTATATTATGCCAACTGTTCAAATGAAGAAACTGAGGCTAAAGGAGGTTAAATGGCTGACCAATGGTAGCAACTAGGTGTGCCAAGTGAGGTTTAGACCCAGGCCTTCATGACTCCAGGTCCAGTGCTGAATCCCCTTGGCCACACTATCTGAGTTCAAGGTCTCTGATTTAACCTGTGGAGCCACTGCTCTTGAAGCAATCTGTGAAAGAGCCATTAGACTTGGTTGGCCAAGGTGGTGCAGTGGATAGAGCAGTGGCCCTGGAGTCAGGAGGACCTGAGTTCAAATCCAGCCTCAGACACTTGACACTGTGTGATACTGGGCAAGTCATTTAATCTTCACACACATACACACACACATGACAGAAGATCAATGGAGACAGTGCATTGTAAACCTTAAAGTGCCATGTAAATGCCAGCTATTATTATAAAACTGAACTCTAGGTAATTATACTGACTACATCAGGTCCCAAAGAAGAGACAAAAGGCTGTCTTCTTTGCAGAGGCGGAGGACCATGGGGGTGGAATGTTGCATGCACTGTTCTGTGAGGTTGATGGTTGTTAGTTTTGCTGAGCTGCATTCCTTCCACCTCTTTTCTATTCTTTTAGCCAGGTGGAAAGGGGAGGAACATATGCTGGAAAATGAAAGGTGATGCCAAAAAAAAAAAGTTATCAAAACATTTTTAAATATTTAAATATTTTTAAAAGGAAATAAATTATTTAGAAGTTATATGACCAAAAGAAAGACCATGTCACCGTTGATAACTGGCTTTGGATTCTGGAAAACCGGGGTTCAAGTCCTTTCTCTGACACGTATTATCTGTGTGACCCTGGGCAAGTCATTTCTGTGACTCCAGGCAGCTAAGACTGTCAACTCCAGAAGTGGGTGATCTTCATTAGAGATAGAAGGAGTTTCAACAGCAGAAAGTTCGGGTCATACTAATAAAATCATAGGGAAGGACCAACTTCTCCCCATTCATTGGAAGACATTAGCAAGTCCACTCAAAACTACCAAACAGTGGGATTACTGCAAAGGAAGAGGAAAAGAATGACTCTCCCACTGACAGCCTTTATATAACACTTTAAGGCTGGAAAAGTTGTTTATAAATATTATCTCATTTGATCCTTAGAGGTAGGTATTATTATTATTCCCATTTTACAGATGAGAAAAATGAGGCAGAGAGAGGCTAAGTGACTTGCCCAAGGTCACACGCTAGTTGAGTGTCTGAGGCTGGATTTGAACTCAGGTTTTCCTGACTCCAGGTCCAGTGAGCTCTCCATTATGGTGCCACCTAGCTTCTTGTTCAAAATAACTAATTGGTTTCTGGAGCTTGTGACACATTAGAGAAAAGAGGCATTAGCAAAGGCATTATGCCATCAGAATTCAGAAAAAATCAGCTGAATTCAACAATGAATGTTTATTGACCTGTTGAGCTGAATCTTTCTCCTGCATACCAACTTCTTAAGGCAAATGATGCTAATGAATGAAAAGTTTAACCATGAAGTCAGGGCTTCCACTGATCTGTAGTTCGATATTTCAAGGAGCCTAGATTTCATCCCAGGATCTTAGTTCTAGAGCTGGAAGACCCCCTCTGGGGTGCTTGGGGGAATCTGGTCCAACTCCCCTTCACTTTTAAAATGAAGTAACTTAGACCTAAGGAGAATGAGTGATTTCACCATCAATGTGGGCACTTCCTCAATACCTTACTTAGTAAGTAGTCTTCATTAAACTGATATGGCTGAAAAAAGAACTCATCTTAAGGGTAGCTAGGCGATAGAACACCAGCCCTAGAGTCAGGAAGACCTGAGTTCAAATCTGACCACAAACATTTACTAGCTGTGTGACCCCAGACAAGTCACTTAACCCGATTTTCTCTCCCCACTCCCCCCCAAAAAAAGAATTAATCATCTTATAGCCAATCTTATAGTGATAAGGCTTCCCAGATTCAGCAAAGGCTTGTCTTCACGTGATAAACATGCTTACCACAGTGCCTGACACACTGTAGGTGCTTAATAAATGTTTATTGATTACTGATTGATGAACACAGTCTACTGCCAGGAACTACAAAACCTCTCCAACTCAGTAGGAATGGCTGGGGCTTATTCTGCTTCCCCACTTCCATTTTATCCAGTTCCATCTATAAAGGAGAATGAAAGAAGCCCACAACTTCATCCTGAGTCATCAGGAAACTTATTCCACATCCAAAACGTACAGCCAAGAGGCCTAAGGTCCAGCTGTCCCTGAATTTCTGTTTTGAATTGTTCCTCTATTATGTCTACGAGGCAACTAGGCTTTGTGACTGAAGCTCTGGACCTAACACAGCCAGGAAGACTCGAGTTCGAATCTCCCCTCTCACACACCTCTGTGACGCTGGACCAAACTCTTCACCTCTCTGGGGCTCAGTATCCTCCCCTCAAATAAAATAAATTTAAAGTAAAAACCTAAAGATCTAAAAATCTAAATAAATCTAAAATAAAGGGAGTTAAACTGGGTAGCCTGTAAAGGCCCTTCGAGCTCCAGATCTGTGATTCTGTGATTAGGGCATCCTGGCTGGTTTCTCTTTCTTTTAACAGATAATTGAAAAAAGAGAATCAGACTCCTTTCTGCTATTGACATCTCCCACCGCACCTCCCCCCAAAACAATTAAACCTGTTAAATGATTCTTTCCCAAATCATTTCCAAAATGACTTGAAAGATGGCAGTCCCATAACCAGAGCAAGAGAACAAGAATTTTTTTTTTTTTGCCTTAGGTGGGCTACCTATCCATCTCTACCTATCGATCAATCAATCCATCTAGCTATGAATAACCAGGTTTCTTGATCTTGCCCGGGCTGGAAGTGCAGGGACTACTCATGAGTCCCATTCCATTTCCAATCCAGGCTGGTTCCCTCCCCTTAGGCAACCTCGTGGCCCTCTCCTTCCCAGGATTCGCCACATTCACGCTGAGCGTGGTGCAGACTTTCTGTGGCCACCCACTGCAGCTCAGAACTCCTGTGCTCAAGACACCCACCAGCCTCAATCCTCCTAGTAGCAGGCATTGCAAGGACATGCCAGCAGGCTCAGCACAGGGGGCAATTTACAAAACACCTACAGTACCATGCTCCCCTACCCCAGGGCTGGCAGGAACAGTGGCTGCTTCATCCTGGAGTTCATCCTGAGTCCTGCCCCTGAGGAGTGCATGCCACCGCAGCTGCTGCTGCCTCCAGCCACTCGCCCCAGCTGCACAATGTGCTAGTTACAGCTGGTTTTTCTTTTGCCTCATTTCTGGTCTCTGCAAATTAAGACAGATCGTATCTGTCTTCCAGAAGTTTTTTCCATTTCACAATAAGCTCTTGGGGTCTTGTGTGCTTTCTCTAAGAACTCTGAGAAACACTTACAACATACATAGATCAAAAACAAGACTCAGAAAGGAAACACATGGAAAAGCAAGCAAAACCTGCCACCCCCGTCCTCCTTTTTGCTCAAGATGGTCTGCACCCTCCCTTCAATAAACACAGAATGTGAAAAGGATGGGGGTGAGGAAAACGCCTATACAGAGCCAACTGGAGCTGAAAATGCAAGCTTGTGGCAGCAGGAAATGGGGGTGGGGGATATGTGCTGGCTGGTTCTAACGTGTAAATGGAAAACCACACGGCTAGTGCTTGCCACACCATATATCCACCCCTGCCCACCCATGAAACCTCATAAAGGAGGTGGGACACTTGTGGTAACCACTCAGTTCAAGGAGTATTGTTGTCCAGACTTTATTTTTTTTTTTGGAAGCAGAAAAAATTCTGATTGGGGAAATAACAACAGCACTTATACAGTTCTTTAAATCTTGCAAAGAGCTTAACAAATATCATCTCACTTTATTCTCACAAGAAACATGGAAGGTAAGGTGCTATTATTACTATTCCCCCTTTTACAGATGAGGAAACTGAGGCAGGCTGAGGTTAAGTAACTTATCCAGGGTCCAGCTAACAGGTCTTCCAGACTTCAGATCTAGCATCCTATCCAATGTGCCACCTTCAAAAGGAAGAGTGGGAGGCAGTGAATTTGCAGTAGGAAAACCTTAGCTCAACACTCACCTCTATACATACTACCTGGATGATTTTAGCCAAATCATTTCCCCTTTCTGGGCTTCAGCTATATAAAAAATAAAATGAAGGGGTTGAAATGGATAATCTAAAGTTCTTCCAGCTCTAAATCCAATGACTGGTCTCTTGGAGGGGGTAAGGATACTGTGACAATGATCTGATCTTAGCTATAGTCACTCATAACTTTTTTTTTTTTAGGCAATTGGGCTCAAGTGACTTGCCCAGGGTCACACAGCTAGTTAGTGTCAAGTATTTGAGGCCGGATTTGAACTCAGGTCCTCCTGACTAAAGCTTTATCCACTGCGCCATCTAGCTGCCCCAGCTACAGTCAGTCAACAATCATTTATTAAGCACCTACTATGTTCCAGGCATTGTGCTAAGTGCTAGTCACTAAACCTTGATTTTCCCTCGGATAAACTCACAGCAAAAACAAAAAAACCTATCCATTTCTGAAAGGTAGAATGAGGATAAAATGAGATAGTAGGAGAAATGCTGTGATGAAAATTAATAACTGTACAAGACCATAAAGAAATCACTAGCACCAATCAGCCTCCCAAATTTCAGTAGCGCCCAACTCCCGGAGTTTTTCTTGGCAAAGATACTGCAGTGGTTTGCCATTTTCTTCTCCAGCTCATTTTACAGATGAGGAAACTGAGGCAAACAGGGTGAAGTGACTTACCCAAGGCCACACAGCTAGGAAGTATCTGAAACCAGATTTGAACTCAGGTCCTCCTGACTCCAGGCTGGTGCTCTGTCTACTGTGCCACTTATCAGCTTCCTAAAAGGTATGCAAATTAGCAGGTTTGTGGTGAAGTATACACTAGGAGGTAACGAGGCAAACCCATTGAAATTGTGGGTTGTGAAGCAAAGCTAAATCCAGTAGAAAATTTCCTATATGAAAAGAAAGCTTCCTTCTAGAGCTATCCAAAAGTGAAATGTGATGTCACAGGTAATAGTAAATTCCCCCTCCTTGGAAGTCTTCAGCAAAAGCTAAATGACCGCTTGGCAGTATGTTCTTTATCTCTGTTGATTATCTCCAATATATCCTGTCTGTAACCTGTTCATAGTTGTTTGCATGTTGTCTTCCTACATTAAAACGTGAGCTCCTTGAGAGCAGGGACCAGTTTTATGCCTTTATTTGTATGGCTAGAATTTAGCACATAGTAGGAGCTTAATAAATGCTTGTTGATGGGCTGACTATCATCATGGAAATTCTTGGGCAGGAACAGGTTGGACTACATGGCCTTCAAGGTCGTTTCCAATGCTAAGATTATGTGAACAAGATATCACTAAAAATAGGCTATATATAGAAAGATCGTCAATAATAATAACAACAATATCTGTATAAAACCAGGTCATTACTCCCAGCAATTACAGAAGGGTTATCCTAATGAAGTCCAGATGGCTTGATACTGATTTTTCAAGGAAGTAGCAGAACATTTCTCTTCTTGCAACATATCTCTTCAAGTTACAAAAACATGATACCAAGAAAATACCTGGGAAGAAACTATCAAGTGGTCAGGATACACACAGGCAGCTTGCTAACATGTCAAATCACAACACAACAAATTCAAACCCCCCCAAATATGCTTGAGAATTCAGCAAACCACCTACGAAAGCACAGCATCACGAGGCCGTCTCTTTATGACACATACAAAATCTAAGGACGGTTTTTAAAAAGAGATGCTTATTGTCATCCCAAACGCTCATAAACTCCAAATAAAGTCGAATGAAAATCTTTCAAAATATAAAAAACCAGTAAAAACAACAGAATGCTTTCAGTGAACCTAAAGATAAACTTGCATCCCAACTTTTATTCAATTACAAAAAAAAATCAGTTATTCCATCTATCTGTGTAACAGTCCATAGAATATTAATAATAATAGCTAGCATCTGTAGAAGGCTTTAAGGTTTGCAAAGTGCATTTCACAAATAGCATCTAAACTTATCCTTCACAACTACCCTGGGAGGTATTATTATTGTTGTTGTTGTTATCATTTTACTATCTCCATTTTATAGATAGGGAAACTGAGGCAGACAGCAGTGAATGACAGAGTCAGCAATTGTCTGAGGCAGAATTTGTGCTCAGGTCTTCCTGACTCGAGGACCAGCACTCTGCCAACTCTCAAATTGAACAGAACAACAATATGGTATCATGTCTTGTCCCAGGATACCAACTTCTATGTGAATTCAATCATTGGATTGAAGTGATGATGGTGAATAATAAGGGTAGCCATAAAATGACAATCAGCCTAGGAAGCCGGCTCTTCTCAGCTGCGTAGAGTTTACAAAGCGCTTTCGCCTCTGCCTTCCCGTGGAATGGGCAGCACCCGCCTCATCCCTGCAGATGGCAGCCGAGAGCTCCATCCAGATGTGCACACCTCTGGAAGGACCGCAAGGGGGAAGGACCACACTCTCAGAGCGAACAAGGCCCGCAGAAGCATCACCTCCAAGCTCCGCCCCCAGGCTTCCTGTTTCCCAGGATCTTGATTTCCAGGGGAGGTGGCTCCGAGGCCCGCGGTGATTGGCCAGGATCGCCTCTGACGTCACGCGCCCGAACGTCCCAGTGCTGCCGAGTGTCTCGGTGCCCGGGTCGTCATGGCGGCGCGCAGGAGCCGGGCGCTGTGGCCGCTGAGCGGCCGGGGCTGCAGTTGGGCCCTGCTGTCCCTGCGGCCGCCTTGGGGCTGGACCCGGCCGATGTCCACCGAGAAGCCAGGGGCGGACACGCATTTCGGGTTTGAAACGGTGTCTGAGGAAGAGAAGGGGGACAAAGGTGAAGAAGGGAAGGGGCGGTGCCCAAGGGGAGGGGCGGGGACTAAGGATGAGGGGCGGAGTCTGAGCCAGCGGTGGGCGGGGCCCGAGCCAGGGAGGGGCGGGGCCCAAAAGCGAGAGTACAGTCTGAGGCTGGGGGGGGGGGGTCAAGGGAAAGGGGGGGGGCTGGATGGGGGGGGGGGGCGGCCGGAGGGGGGGGGGGGGGGCCGGAAATGGGAGGGGGTGTGTGGGAGCTGAAGGGCAGGCAAAAGGGAAGGAAACAGGAAAGAAGGAAGCATTTGTATGAGACCTACTGTGGGCTAGGCACCGTGCTGAACACCTTATAAATAAGCCATTTGAATGGATAGGGTCCCAGTGGACTGGAGGGGAGGGGGCCAGAGGAATAGGGAAGGGGGCTGATGGGGGGGCGGGAGTCATGGGGGAAAGGCGTGAAGAACCCACGCCCTGGGAATATGAGGGGAAGCACTGAGGGGTCTGGGAAGTGGAGAGCAGTTTGAAGTGAGGGGCCAAGAATGTAAGGAATGAGGGGTCTGAGGGGAATGGGGGAGAGATCTAGGGATTAGGAGGGTTTGGGGTGAGATGATTGAGGAGTCTGAGATAGTGGGAGTGTCCAAGCAGCACCAGGGGCTACAAGAGGATCTGAATGAGAAGGGGATGAAGTCTGGGGTCTAAGGAACTGAATAATAGTAATACTAGCATTTATATGATGCTTTAAGATTTGCAGAGTGATATACAGATATCTCCTTTACTTATTTGATTGGATAAAGGGCCTGAGTTGATATCTAGAGATCTAGATAGCGGCTGTCAGGAGTGGGGTGGGGCAGGCTGAGCAATCATAGACTTAAAGAAACTAAACAAAAAATGTAGGCTACTCACCAGCAGCCCACTAATGAAAGGCATAAAATTGTCCCACTAGGTCTGATTCTTTGCATCTAGGCTTTTTAAGTTTGTGTTTTAAAAGTACAGCAAAATGAAAAAATAGACTTGGCCTAGGGCAGGGGTTTGGAGTCCAAGTTTTGCTGAACAATCGCTTTATTAAGGGGATTTGTTCTGTGAAGTTTGGATTCAGTCAAAGGGCCACACTTGAGGACCTAGAAGCCTTAGGACCATTATTTCAAGACCATTTATTATGTTCCTACAGTGTTTGGGTTTAAAGGAGAGAAAGGACAGAGAATGGTCCCTGGCCTCCTGAAACTTACAGACTAAAAAGGAGATGGTTGGCATGTAGAAGAGAGATGTCATATTTTGCTTGACCTCAGAGAATAGAACTGAAAGAAGTGGGGGCGGGGACAGTTAAAAGAGGAAAATTTAGACTGGATGGTGGGAAAAACTTCCTAATGATTGCACTATCCAGAAGTGCAGTGAGCTGGCTTGGAACATTGTGGCTTCTTCATTAGAGGTCTCCAAGCAAATGCTGGATAACCACTTGTCAGGTGACAAGATGAGTGCCAAGGCTCCTTCCATCTCTCAAATTCTGTGACTGCCTTTGACCACAGTAAGAGTGGTATAAAGCTTTGTTTAGAGGAAGGAGAGCACGCTATTGGGAGGATCTTTGGTGAAAGCAGTAGCGTTCGAGGACAGGAAAGAATTAACAGCTCTTTTAAGACTTTGTTGCAAAGCAGGTGCTGATCAGGAATCCCTGAAAGCTCAGGTCTGATCCAAAAAAACATTCTTGGTCAGGCTGTCGGCAGTGATGTGAGCCAGGAAGGAGACATATGAAGGGACTGCCTGGGGGTACCAGACTGAGAAGTGTCCAAATACAAATGGTCTTATCTAAGGCCTTTCCATGAAAAAAAACTTCTCAATTGATTGCCTCACAGTAACACACTTGTGACGGGCTGTTTTTTAACCCATGTTAGTCTACCAGGTGTTTGAAAGTGTGGCTAAAAAGTACGACGTGATGAACGACTCGATGAGTCTGGGGATCCACCGGATTTGGAAGGATTTACTGCTGCGGAAGATGCACCCTTTCTCTGGGACCAAGCTCCTTGATGTGGCTGGAGGCACAGGTAGTATCTGATTTTGTACCTTGACTTATCTTGGTCAGATAAGTGGGTCGGTCCCTCTTGGAGCAGCCTCATTCATCTACCGGTAGGCCACAGCTGGAAATAGAAAGTCTATTCAATAGGAATGCCCCATAGAAATGGGACATGCTATTTACTATTCTTTCCCTTCAGATTACAAGCTTTTTAAGGGCAGAGACTTTGAGCACCTTCATTTTGGTGCCTCTAACCTAGACTACAAAGCCTTTCCTTTCGTAGGTATTGAGTTGAGTGGTGTGGACCAAAACCATGGAGGAACCTGCCATGTGCTTGGAACAGTGTTAGCAGTGACAGAATTATAAAACAAAATGGTCGATTTTATTCCCACAAAAGCTTTCAAACTAAGTTATTATTCTTCTCTTTCATTTTTTAACATAACTTATTTTATTTTTTATTCTTTTTTCACCCTTATTGGCCATTGTAACATGGTAGAAAGAGGCAGATTTGGAGCCAGGCCTTCTAGCTGGGCGGCCTTGGGTAAATCTCTGGGCATTGGTTTCAAGGGAGACTTTGGTAAGCCATTAGGCACTCTCTGTAGATAGGCAATGTCTGTGTCATCATCATGATATTCTTCTTCATCCTCCCCACCCACACCAAGCACCCCCTTGTGGCCTGGAGGTGGCTTGGCTTCTTAAAGGCTGTGACAACCTGGAAAAGCATGAGCTTGGCCCACCTTACCTAGTCAGAAAGGCTCCTCCTAGTACTGACCGAGTGATTGATGTAAGGCGTGTCAAGATAAATCTGGCTAAGCTCCTCCTGGCTTATCACCAGATTGACCTGGTTTTTTTTTTTTCCAATTGGTAATTGCCACACTTGAGGTAATGGAGGGGCCTCCACTTATTTCAGATGCTGTAAACCGCAGCCCTTTTAAGCTGTCAGTACAACTCAGCAGATGTTTGCTAAGTGCTTGTTATGTGTAAGACTCTGTATAAAGCATTTTCACATTAGTCATGTTGTAAGGAAGAATTAGAACCAATAGGAGGAACCACCAGAAAGAGGAAACAAAACAGAACAGAAGGAAAAAAAATAGCAAATAGTAAAGCATTGTTATTATTATATTACATTTCCTTCCCTAGTTGCCTTTTCTGATACAACCAGCTATCCTAAAATTCCTTTGTATCCATCAGATAATACAGTGTTTTGAAAACTCAGGATACTTGTACCTGGGAGCTGGGACTAGAAGGTGGCTGTGAGGAAAATAGGTACTTGGTAAATCTTTAAAAGCTATCACTGTCCTCATTCTCCTCCTCCTGGATGATGGGAATGGATAAGTGATCAAATGTGTTTACTCAGCATGTCTGAGGGGCCAGACTATGCTCACCTGTCAGAGCCATGGTGGTTTCAGGGGCAGAGTCTAGTGTTCTGGTGGGAGGGGGATCCTGATGATGGCCAGAGTGCCAGTAGCCTGGTCTGAAAAAGCCACTTTACAAAATGCCTTATTTACGTTATCTCATGAGATCCTTACTACAGCCCTGGGTGGTGCATGCTAGAGATACCATTATCGCTTTTGCAAATGAGATATCTAGGGCTGAGAGAGGTTGCTTATAAACACAGCTTTTAAGTATCTAAGCAGGGATTCAAACCCAGGTCTTCTCCACTCTGGGTCCAACATTGTACCTATTATGCCTTGTTTCATCTCAAGATCATCGCTATTTCCTACTAATAGTTCATCCCAGGAGTTTGGGACTAATATCCCAGTCTATTTACTAACAGCTTTTTAAAATGCCTTTAACTGGTAACAAATAAATTAATCTCAGATCTGTAGAAAGTCATATAGATTAAGAAATTAGTTTGGTGTGGAGAGGGCCTTGAGCTCCCACACACTTTTGAATGGTCCATCCCATGTTCAGAGAGCACTCTGATTCACCCCTCCTTTTGTTTGGTTACACAGGAGACATTGCCTTCCGATTCCTTAATTACATCAAAGCTCAGAACCAGAGGCAGCAGCAGAGGGAGCTGAAATCCCATCAAAATTTAAGCTGGGAAGAAATTGCCAAGTGGTACCAGAATAGCCGGAGTCCCTTAGGGGAATCCCATGTGGTCGTCTGTGACATTAACAAGGAAATGCTCAATGTTGGAAAGAAGAAAGCACAGACGTTAGGCCACAAAAGAGGTGGGTCCTGCTGGAAGTAGGTGAAGGGAATTCTAGGGAGGGAAAACGCTGGGAATGTCATTAAAGGATTGGAATGTGTTAAATTTTAGACTCATAGGGGAGTCCTCACAGGGAGGAGTCATAGGTGAAAGTGCAACCTGGCTCTGTGAAGCCAGAGAAGGGTCTGGTTCCAATTCCAAGCCACCATGATGACCCAGTTTACTGGCGCTTGTCACATGAATTCCGCCTGCATGTGCCCCCCCATCACTCAGCAGATCCCATTGGATCTTTGTGGGGGTGGGGCACGTCATACACAAACAGAAGCCACTTAGCCATGCCTGGGGCCTTTCCTTCTGCATTTGCCTTTGCTCCTTGTTTATGTCAGTCCTTCTTTCTCCTCCTACCACCCCCAGCAGGAACTGCTTCTGCAAGCCCTGGGCCACCCACTTGTCTCAGTATCAGCCCACTTAGTCCCAAGAATGAAGGATTCTTTTGTTACCCTTCAACACCATTCCGAAGATGGACAGTTGCTAGTGTATTTAGACAAAAGCACTGTTTTTCCCTCCTCTGTGGAGTCCCTCCATGAGGAATGAGGCGCCTGCACTTCGACCTTCCTGGTGTCAAGAGTGCCGAAATGCTGACTGTTATCTCATCTCTGGAACATAGCTTTGGGGTGTCTAGAGGAGGAGGCTAGCAGAATATGACCCCCTATGAAGCCATGTGCTTTGGACTTAGCTCCTAAAGTGGCCAGCCTCAGGAAACGAAAGGTACATCCCATGGACCTGTGTCCCTTTCCTGTGGTGGGGCTGGGAGTCTGGAGATGGGGGTTCTAGTCTTGCCTCTGCCACCAGTGAATTCACTGAGTGAGCATGGCTAAGTCTCAGCTGCTTTCTGTGTCTCCATTTCCTCATATGTAAAATGATGAGAACATAGATTACATGAACTCTGAGCTTCTCTAAATCTACTTGCGTGTGGTACACATCATCATAGGTCTCTGAATCACAGTGTCAGAGATTGATTTAATATTGCTATGCCCTACTACTTAATAGCTAGCATTTCTATTAGCATTTTAAGGTTTTCAAAGTGCTTTATGACTGTTGGCTTATTTGAAGTAGATGCTATTATTATCCCCATTTTTCAGATCAAGAAACAGAAGCAGGCACAGGTTAAGAGATTTCTTCAGATTCACACAGCCAGTAAGTGTCTGGGGTCAAATTTGAACTCAGGACTTTCTGACTCCCAAGTCCAGAGCTCTATCCACCTTGGCACATAGCTCCCTTTTCACTTTTCTCCTTTGCCGTCATCTGTCCTTTTTCAGTACACACCTCCCTTGCCAGAAATAAGTCCAATCCAAATAAAGTGGGGATGAGATAAGAGCATGGAGTAGAAATTATTTTTTAAAAGAAGGTATGAGAAACTATGTCTGTGTCTGTGGTAGTATATCTTACTACTGGGGTAGAAGCTCTGGAGGAAGAGTCTGTGGTTTTCTGGGTTGTTAATGGAGTTTCCAACACAACTCATGTTTCATAAGATGGAAATACAGTAATCTGGCTTAGCCGCTGCCTAGTAAAGGGCAAGCCCCATGTTTCCTGGTGAGATCTCCAGGTTTAGGGACTTTTTGAGTTAGCTGGAATTGGAGCGAGGTCATGTATCTCATAGGTTGTATGTTGTGGCTATCCGTGTTTGAGTCTTCGCCCTCTCCTAGGTTCTAATGACCACAAGGGCCTGCAGGGTCGTATTCCACCTAACCTTGTGTCCTGCTCAGTGCTCTGTGCACTCTAACCTCTGGGTGTCCTGAAGAGTCAGTGCCATCTTGGGCTGTGTTAATCGAGGCCTCACTAGGGGTTAGAAACAGGGTGCCTGCCCCATGGAGCACATCTGGAGAACCAGAGCATTGCCTGAAATGTCCATGGGGCCAGCAGTGATGGGGGAGGGTCATGTGGCACCTCGATCATTGCAAGGAGCCGAGGTAAAGCTTATCCTGAGCAGATGGAGATTAGGGAAGGGCCATGATGCCGAGGGAGGGTCTGGATGATTCTGTTTGACCCCCGAGGACAGGCGGAGGGACCGTGCAGTGTGGTGGAAGGGCCCTGCTCTGACCTCCATGATTACCGCCAGTGGGAATCACGTGCAGAGTCACGGATAAGTCAGTTTCCTCATCCGTAAAAGGAAGGAGTTAGACCAGGTGGCCTCAGATTTCCATTCTAGCGATCTGTGATCTCGTGATCAGCAGTGGGATCAAACTGCAAAGAGGCAGATTGAGATACAACAGAAGAAAAACATTTCTAACAGAACTGTCCAAAGTGGAGTTGGTTGCCTCTAGGAAAGAGGGGCTCCCCCTTCCTCCCGAGGTCTTTAAATAGAGATTGTATGAGCATTTGGAGATGACTAGATCTGTTAGAGAGCAAATTCTGGGTCAGATGTGAATTGGATGTGAATTGGACTTAGCTGGCCTCAGGTCCTTTCCCACCTGAGATTCTCCTCCCAGTGGGCAGACCCTTCATAAATGTTTGTTTCATGAATGGATCAAATAAACTCAATTCCAGGCGGACTGTAGTCCTTAAGGGGAAAGTCAGCCCTGACCACGGATCATCTTCCTGGGGACAGAGGGAAGGTCCTGGGGCTGGGGTGCAGCTCACCTGTTATTCTCTTTCAGGGCTGGCTTGGGTGGTGGGTGATGCCGAGGAGCTGCCCTTTGATGATGACAAGTTCGATGTTTACACCATTGCCTTTGGGATCCGAAATGTCACCCACATCGACAGGGTGAGCCTGGAGGGATGCTTGGGGCCTGTGAGGTAGACTTGATCAGCATACTTAGTCATGACTGGGAGAAAGAAGGCTTATCAGCCCAACTCTAAGGGACCAGTCACGTCCCACACTGACAAACAGAGCCACAGCCAAGGTCGTTTCTCGCCTCGTCGTATGGATTCTAGCCTGTAACCTCTGGTGGCTGCTTCACTAAGTCACTTGTGCTGAGCCAGCAATTTTTTAAGTGACCCCAGTAGATTTGTCACTATCTTTGTTCTAAAACTAGAAACAGAATCCTGCCAAGCCCTGGAGGATGGTCTGGTCCTCAACTAGACTCGTGGAATCTTGGAGCTGGGGGAGACCAGGGTCACCCTGAGCCTGGAGGAACAGGATTGTGTTTTTTTTTTCTTTTTGTCAAGGCAATTGGGGTTAAGTGACTTGCCCAGGGTCACACAGCTAGTAAGTGTCAAGTGTTTGGTCTGAGGCCAGAGCTGAACTCAGATTCTCCTGACTTCAGGGCCGGTGCTCCATCCACTGCACCACCTTGCTGCCCCCCCGACAGGATTGTTGTTGTAAGCCCACCTGCTTGTCCTGCTCTCTGTCACCCTCTAGAAGAACCTGGATGGCGCGGGAAAGACTTTAGTTTCCCTCTGTCCAGACACTGTTCAGCTTCACCTTGGTGGCATTGAGTGAGGGCTCCCCCTAAAAGGGTTCTCTTGTTTCCTGTCCCTCTCAGGCACTTCAGGAAGCCTATCGCGTCCTGAAACCAGGAGGCCGGTTTCTGTGTCTGGAGTTTAGCCAAGTGAGCAACCCCATCATCTCCAGGTAGGCACCGTCTGTTCCCTGGGCTAGGTTCTAGCACGTAGTAGGCCCTTAGGTAATGCCGGTGGAGGGAGGAGTTGATGGCCCAGGCCTCCCCTGGCATGACAAGGAAAGCCACTGTCAGAGCTCGCCACCCTCTTACCTCCTTTCTGGTCCAACGCCCTTCAAGAGCAAGGGGAGTCATGGCAGACAGGCATTTGCCCTGACACAGAGCCTGGAGATTCCTGAGGAGGGGGGGAGTCGGTGGGGAGTCAGCAGGGCTCAGCCCAACCTCTGCCGTTTGCCTTTCTGTTCAGGCTCTATGACCTGTATAGCTTCCAGGTCATTCCAGTCATGGGAGAAGTCATTGCGGGGGACTGGAAGTCGTACCAGTACCTTGTGGAGAGCATCCGACGTTTCCCCCCACAAGTGAGTAACCCCACGCGCTCCCCTAAAAAGCAGAGAAGCCAAATTCCAGGTCCTCTCAGCTAATTTTTTCTCCTACATTTTAGGAAGAATTCAAGGAGATGATTGAAGATGCTGGCTTTCAGAAGGTGACCTATGAGAGCCTCACGTCAGGCATCGTGGCAATCCATTCAGGCTTCAAGCTATGACTCCAGCTCGGCACACTCCTCGCTGTGCAGTCCTGTGGAAAAGACTGGGAGGGTGTGGGCTGCTCCTTGAGAGCTCCAGCCTCAGGAGTGACCCCCCCCGGCCTGTTGGGGAAGAGGGCACGGCATTTCCCTGACGATCAGCTGGTGCTGTCTGGGACCTTTTCCCAGGGTGGCATTTGGTTCGTTTTTCTTGGATGTGCGGGGGGGGGGGGTGTGAGCCCAGAAGCCCAGACTGGAACAAGTTTTGTGGCCTCTGCCTCCCCACCACGTCATACCAAAAGGGAAATAAGTGGACCCTCGTGGGTGAGTAGAAAGGTGGAACCTCCTCCCAAGGACACACCCAGGTCCTCCTTAAGTCCTAGGCCTGTGTCATCTGCCCAAGCAGAGGGTGGGCTGACCGTGCCCGGGCTGGAGTGTGAGCCTGGATGGCGTATTAAAGAGCTGACTTGTGTCTGATTTCTCTGCTGTCCTTTACACTTTTCACAGGTGCCAAGAGGGCTTAGGTCTTTCCCAGGTGAAGACACATAACTCCATACTGGTAATCAAGATTAATAGTGGCCTGGAAATTATGACGGCTCATCTTGCCATCAGGGCTGCCTTCTTTACAGAAGTTAGACTGAATTCTGGATACTTCTTCTGGCAAAGCAACATGGAGTGGCAGAAAGAGCCCAGAATTCACATTCCAGCTCTGTGACTCATCATCAGTGGTACACCTTGGCCAAGTCATTTCTATACTCCCTGGGCCAGTTTTCTCCCCTGTAAAGTGTGGAGAGTAGGCCAGGCACCCTTGGAATCTCTAACCTGACCTCGACCTGTCTTTTACCAGATTGAAAGCTTTCAACAGCTGGTTCCAAATGCCGTGCAGAGCACTTTGCTTTTTGAGTTCCAAGTTTGAGGTTCTTTGGCTAAGAAAGTTAGAGAGGGGCAGCTAGGTGGCACAGTGGATAGAGCACCGGCCCTAGATTCAGGAGGACCCGAGTTCAAATCCAGCCTCAGACACATAACACTTATCAGCTGTGTGACCCTGGGCAAGTCACTTAACCCCCATTGCCCCCCAAAAAAAAAAAGTTAGATAAAGTCACCTGGGTGTGACTTGTCTAGCAGCTTCCTTGTGAATAATAGCGCAATTATGCTTGAAAGTGCACAGAGATGTGCTGTATCATAGCCAGGACCTACCCACTGTTGCTGGCCCCATCCTTATGCCCGACACCCAAATTCCAGCCCATTATAGTCATTTCAAAACCAGAGCTTGTCCTACCTGTATCCTAGAACACCAGCAAAGGAAGATGTCAAGATTCCTTTCTAACATGTTGACCACAGAAGAACAGCGATTAAATCTCGATCAGATATTAATAGGCTATGACTTTGTTTAAAACTCTTCTGCTTCAACCCCTCTGGGCGTTCGTGACAGGGAAGAGCAGGCAACCGACAGAACTTGGTATACTGTCAGCCCTCTCTCATCTCCATGGAAACATATATTCTCACATCAGAATCAAAAATAGGTTTTTGTAATCTGCCCCCATTTGCTGGCAAGAAACAGACTGAGGTCACATCAAAATCTCAATTTCCAGTGGTATTGTGGAGATGGGATTCATTTGTATTTGGGCTCTATGCTGAAAAACCTAGATCATGTCTACTTAGTGGACTGTTGGATTGGATAGCAGAGCCGTTCTGCGTTCCAACAGATAACAGAGAGCGAGCGGACGCGAAGCCCCTCAATTCTATTGAGTCTATAGATAGCAATGGCCTTGTTGGCTCATTCAGTAAGCAAGCGCTTTTCCCTAACAGCCAAACTGTAGGAGATTCAATGAAAAAGGGGATATGGTTCAAAGACCACCCAGATTTGCACATTTCTATTACCCCTGTAGCTGTTCCTTCTAAAACATCGATTGGCAATTTGTAGTGAACAGGGACAGGAAGTGTAGGTATCCTTGCCAGGTTCAAAATCTGCCTAAAAAAACTCGCCAGCTACCATTACGAGCAAGCGAGGCACAGCTTCTCAGAGCTTGTTTCCTTGTATGGAAAACTAGGGTACTCCCAGGATCACTGATCCGTCCACAAGGGAGCGAAAGCAGTCTCCTGATTTTGAGAGACAAATTAGCATGGCCAAAAAACATCACACTGCACCCAGCCTGGCCCAGACTGGACGAGGAACATCCATAGCCCCATTACCAAACTTTTCTTCTGGGTAAAGTGGGTCAGAGAATAAACTGTACCGGTCTTCAGGGACCCAGGGTCACTGCCTTGCTAAGACTCCCACAAGAAACTGGTCCTGCCTGTGTTATTTCTCACTGGCCACAAGTTAAGTACTGGAAGAACATTTGGGTTAATAGCTAACAACTAAACCAGCGTTTAAAACATTTGCATCTAATAAGTGCCCCAAATTGAAGCATTACTTTGCTGTGGTGACAGGGCTTAATCTTTGCAAATTTAGCTTCTCCGGTATCTCTCTTAACTGATGAGTGCTAGAGCAAAAATGCCCAAGTTGATGAAAAACAAAGAATGGGATGACCAGGCCCTTCCCCTGCACTCCCAGCCACCTTCCCACATTCATTGCTGGGAAAGGGACAGGGGCAGATGAGTCAGAGGTCTTCATGTAATGGGCAGCAGGAAGGTTTTAACTAGTTACTCATCCCCAGCCATCATTCTGATGCTTGGGCTCTAACGAACCACCCTCAGTTCTCAGTTGCTAAAGGTTTGACTTGAGCTGCAGAGCTGCTAACAGCAGGCTGCAAGTTTTAAAATCCTGCCAACATTTACCAGCAACAATACTGCGCAATCCTGCCAGTGGCTTCAAAGGGAACCTACTAAAGACCTCCTCCCTGGATGTCTTTGGAACAGCGATCTCCCAATGTCAAAGCACTTCCCCCATTACCTCATTGTCACAAACCCTCAGCCCCAATTTCATCTCCGTTTCATGGACGTCAGAGGTAAGAGTAGACATAGGGACAGCTGGAAGGAGCTCATTCGTTGCTCCGGCCTTGCCTGCCCTGTCCTTCTCCCCTCCCTCGGGCACAGTGCCCAGAACACTGCACCAGCAAAAACCCATCTCAATAGAAGGTAGGCCTGGGCTGTACCGCTATCTCTTGCTAATTAGGAATAGCCTTCATTCCCCACCCCCAACCACCCATTTTTTATTGTTTTGTTGTTCAGACCCATGGACAACATTGCACACTAAATCCTTCTATCATCTGCTATCTACCAAAGTCTGTCCAAGCTGCCCTTCCAAAGAGGTCCTGTTTGGTTGAAGGATTCCTCCGTCACGCATTTATAACGTAGGGGGTAAAAAAACTAAAGAGGCCAGACAAGAAGGCAGCAGGCTGGCCACGGCAGTCAGTCCCTCAGCAGCTCTAACTAGACGTTATTTAAAAAGATTCTTAAAGGTAACACACGCATCTCCAACAGGTTTATTTTTAAAAGAGGAGCTGGGTTTTTTCTGGAGTGAGGAGAGAAGAGCAGAGTATGGAATAGAAAATAAATAGCCAAGGTAAGCAGTGTTTTGCTAATTGTTTTATAACCACAACAAACTAGTACATAGGATGCCCTGTACAACAACAACACGATAAAGGCTTAAAGCTGGAGGTGTTCCCATGGCAACGCTGAAGATAGTTCAGTCTCTGGTATTTGGAATTTAGGCTGCAGTCCTTGTGATCTGGATGGCTCTCGGGGCAGGAGGCACAGGCCATGCTCTAACCAGACTTGAAGAGGAGAATGGCGACCTGGCCCAAGTAGAAGTAGATGAAGTGTTTTGTCTCGTGCGTCACGTAGCTGCCGAAGTTCCTCCCCACAATGCAGTGCCAGGTGGGGTTGTACTTCTTGTCAAACTCCTGGAAAGGCAACACCACCCCAGGCTGAGCAGGGAGGGGGAGAATGGCTAGCCATCCTTCCCATCCCCGAGAGCCGGGGAATGCAGGAATGTTCCTCGGCTCCCAGTCGCCCACATACCGCGTTTGTGCAAACATACTTGCCAGCCTGAACTCAGCTGCAACATGGGAGGGTGGGTGGGGACAACCAGCCAAGTCAACACGTCTGCGTGCAAGGGACGGGGGCTTTTCTGCACCAGGACCTGCATTTCCTTAGTGGTTCCTCTCACTAATCCGAAGCAGCATTGCTTGGCAGGAATGGTGACTAGTAGTGGCTTGTTGAAGTCCACAGATTAGATTTAACTAGTTCAGACACTATCATACCTTTAGCAAGACCTGTTATATCCATTAGCTAGTTATACTACTAAACACCCTCAATTACTAGGGGGTTTCACAGATTTTAAAGAAAAAATCAGACACAAGAACACATGAGGGCAGCTAGGTGGCACAGTCAACAGAGCTCTGGCCTTGGAGTCAGGGCAAAATCCAGCCTTAGACACTTAACACTATCTGTGTGACCCTGGGCAAGTCACTTAACCCTGATTGCCTCACCAAAAAGCAAGCAAACAAACAGAAAAAAAAAAAAACACCATGAATGAGTGAGTGATGTTCACACAGCTACCACCAAAACCCTAAATAGAGAAGCATGTTTCAAACAGTACTTGCTAGTCTAGGTAATTATTTTTCTTTTCTTTGGGAGGCAATTGGGGCTAAGCGACTAGCTCAGGGTCACACTGCTAGTGTCTGAGGCTGGATTTGAAGTGGGGGGGGGGGTCCTCCTAACTCCAGGGTCAGTGCTGTATCCACTGTCCCACCCAGCTGCCCTCTACATAATTATTTTCACCATCCTTTCCTGCTACAAAAACTCAGAGGATGGATGTGAATATTGAGATAATGTATATAAAAAATACCTTGGCAAACCAAGGTAAGCTAATCTTTGAGAAATGTAGCATTCTTTTTTTTTAATAGGAAAGAATTACATAACAATGATAGCTAGGCATTATATAGCACACCTGAACTGCAAAGCAACCTTCCAAGTATTAACTCATTTGGCCCCTCACAACAACCCAACAAGTTATTAAGATTATCCTTCCCCCTTTTACAGAAACTGAAGCAGAGAAGAGGAAGCCAACAAGTGTGCCCAGGATCACTTGGCTAGTTAAGTTCTCAGGCAGGATCTGAACGCAGGTCTTCCTGACTCCAGGTCCAAGCATCTCACCCCATTATACCACCTACTGCAACTGGAAGGAGAAACTTCGCCTAAAAAGTCAGTTTTCAAACTTCCCTCACCCAGGAGGAAACCCAACATCTGTTTGCTGTGCAGCCATGGGCGGCCAAGTCTCGTAACATAAAATTTATTTATTTCAAACTTTAAAGTTTTCTGGTCTGTAAAACTGGGTAATAATGCTGGCATACTTATCTCACAAGCCTCTGATATGACATGTAATGCAGATATTGCAAACTTTAATACAAACACCACATCATCACGTATATTAACTCTACACTCATTAAATAGGTTTGAAAAAGAATCCCTCATAAACTGACCTGAGAATGTCCACTATTAAGTTATTCCTAAGATTAAGGTAATTAAGCCAACCCTCAATAGCTTACTTCACTTTACAGAGCTCTAAGACCACAAGGGATGACACCCATGCATTAATTCTATATATCCCAAAAGCAGTTAGATGCCTAGTTCCACAGGGTGGCATGCTGTGCCTGTCAGTGGGGACTCTCACTCATATTAACCTGTTTTTTCTCATTAAGTCTCTTCTCTTTCAAGTTACAAGCTGTCCTTTATGTAAATCCACATGAGCTACAAACTGTGGTGTTTATCAGAAATAGTATTTTCTTCTGTTCTAACATCTTTTATCTCACATCTCTACTGAACCCTCCCTCCCACTGCTGAGACTGCCAGCCTCCTTGCCTTCCAAGCCTGAAAGCTTGGCAGTTTTACTAGGTTTTTACAGACTGCCATCAGCAACACTCCCCCTCCCCTTTAAAAAAAAAAAATCACCCACCCACTTTCTCTTAAACCCTGCAGAGCAGGCTAATTCTCCCCACTGGAGAGCTGACAAGATTTCCCTAGGGTTCTGTTGGGAACACCCACACAGTTTTTCCTAACAGATCTCACACAGATGGGTCTTCGATGCAAGAAGAAAGAGGGGACCACTCGGTCCCGAACCTAGAAACAGTTGCTAGGCGGCATTTTCTGGTGTTGTGTTGAAAGACCCATGTCACTTATGTTCTTTGCAAAATTCATAGGGCCAACCACCACCTAGTGTTGCACCCTAGAAATTCCCAAGCCCTCCTAACTGGGATTCTCCCACCTCCCTTAGGTTCACAAAAGGAAAATAAGCATTCACTTTAAAGAGTGATTCGTCTTAAATTTCTGACCAGTTAAAGAAATGTTTACAGGGGTATGCAAATTAAAGCAGTATACCCACCCCCCACCATGGCTTCCCCAGTGAGCAGCAGGAACTGATTCCAGACTCAAGCTACCCTCTCTCTCCAGCTCCTCCTCTGGACCACCTGACTAGCTCCAAGACCTCGGGCTTCCCCATCAGTAACGGGGGAGGGTGGGGCTCCCCCCTGGCAGCTTTCCTGTTCCAAGATCCCAAATCTCTCCCCTCCCCCATCACCCACTCACCTTCTTGATATGGGCTGCTATGTCCTTCTCTATGTTATACTTCTCCAGGGCCTGGGTGGCACACTCCACGGAGTCCTGCTGCATCTCCTCCGACATGTCCGCATTTTTGATTACGGCCTTGCGGTCACACATGGTTACCTGGGGGAGGGGAGAGGAACAAAAAACAGGGAAGGGGGATGGAGGGGGTCCAAGTTTAGGAAATCGGAAGGGATCTCTCAAACACAGGCATTCTTCCACCTCCTGCCCCGTTTAATTAAAAGCAACCCCCGTTCCAGAAACGGGAAGGAGAGGGCTGGGGGAGGGAGGGAGAGGGCTGGGGGAGGGAGGGAGAGGCCCCTGCCCTCAGGAAGGTTCCAGTCTACCAGGGGCCAAGTCACATGGAGATGCCAGAGTTTCAAACCTCCTCAGAATCGTCCCCGACTGCGCCACTCGGCGCCAAACTCCGCCAGGGTTTGTCTGGCAGCCCAACCCAGGCGCCCCACCGCCCCCGGCCCCTCCCGGGACCCCGGCTCGCTCTCCCGCCCTCTGCAGAAAGGGGGCGGGGAAACACAAACCCACTAGAAACATCTACAAACTCGAGCGCCCCTTAACCCTCTCCTGCGCTCCGTTTTTCCATCTGCAAAAAAACAAGGGTGGGTGGGAGGGAGGAATCGCACTAGAAATATTTGCAAACTCTGGCGCCCCTCGCCCCTCCTCCAGCCCTCAGTTTCTCCATCTGCAAAAATGAGACGGGAGGGGGGAGGAATTAGACTGGAAAGATCTACGAGCTCTGCCCCCCTCCCCCTCTCTCTTGCCCTAAGTTCCCCCAACCTGCAAAAAACAAGAAGGGAAGGGGAGAGAGAAATTTGACAAGACACTACCAGCAGCCCCTCCCCTCTCCTGCCTCAGTTTGTCCACCTGCGAAAAGGGAGGGGATGGAATTCGCCCAGAACATCTCCCAGCGCTCCAGGGCTTTAAAGCTCGTGCCCAGGTCGGCTCCGCCCCACCGGGAAGCCATGCCCTCCCCCCTCTCGGGCCTCAGTTTCCCGCCCCCTGCACCGGCCCCTGCGGGGGAGGGGGCGCTCGCACGCGGAACGAGCCCGGGAAGGGGCGCCTGAGGCCGGGCCGGGGGGAAGGGCGCGTGCTAGCCGGAGGCCTCCCCGCGCGCCCACCCTGCCCGGGCCCAGGGCACGCGCCGCTGCCTCGCGCCCGCCCGGCCCCGCTCCGGGGTCCCGGGTCCCGCCCCCCGCCCGTGGTCCGCGCGCTCTGCAGGGGCAACACCAAGCTCGGCTCCTCACCGCGGGTCGGGGGCGCTGGCGGCGGGACCCGGCAGGAGGGGGCGGCGGGGGCGGCGGCGGGGGCGGCGGCGGCGGCGGCGGCGGCGGCGGCGCGGCTCAGGCACTCCGTCCGACCTGTCAGGTGCTTCCACTGCCTAAGCCGTTGCGCATCTAAGGCACCCCACGCCAGATGCCGCCGCCTAGAGCCCGGCCCCGCCCCCTGCTCTCCGCCCGCCCCGCCCCTACGCCGCGCGCCGATTGGCCCGCCCCAGCTGCCTGCCCGCCTCTCATTGGAGGACGACCTCAATGGTTCCCGCAGGCTCCTTCGCCCGCGTTTTGTTGCAGACCACAATGCACCGCTGACGGCGTCGGTTGCCACGGCGACGGTCTGGGGAGCGGGCCTCTCCTCTCGCTTTTCCCGCTACACGAGTCTTGGAGTTTCACGGTGGAGCTTAACAGCAGGGGGTTCACTGGGCAGGAGCCCGGGAAGGCGGACCGGGGGCCACCTCGGGGCTGGGAACAAGGGAAGAATCCTCCTGCAGGGCAGTGGTGTGGCTGCCTGGGGCACATGACGCAGTCAGGAAGCATGGGTGCCCTCCTTAGAATAGGGGGAGAAGGGCGCCCCGCTGGAATATAGACAGGCTAGAGAATGTAGTAGAATACGTACAGAATTGACTAGACAGACTGTAGAATATAGACTATAGAATGTAGAATATGTATGGAAAACACTCTATAGACCGTAGACTAGAATGTAGAATACGTGTAAAATAGAATATAGAGACTCCGTATAGAATAGACTATAAAGACCATAGGATAGAAAAAAAAAAGACTATAGAATGTGGAACACGTAAAGAATAGAACATAGACTCAAAGCTCTGAGGGCCATGAACCCGAGCATTTTACAAATGGAGAAACCGAGGCCCGGAATTGCACAAGACTCCTAAAAATCTAGAATAGAGCCCAATTGCCCTTTATGTCACTGATATGAAAACTGTAGTATTTAGTACTAGCCCAGCCTGCTACAAATAAGGAGACTGACACCCAGTTAGTTACCCAGATGCATAATTTTTAAAAGTTAGAAGGGTACCTAAAAAACAATCTAGCCCAACCCCCACATTTTACTTAATAATAGCACACTGAGGCCCAGAGAGGGGAGAAACCGAGTTGCCCAAATACATAGAGGGTTTAAAACTGAAAATAAGATTACTGAGCCTAAACGCCCACCACCCCTTATTTTACAGATAGGGAAACTGAGGGAACATTTGCCCTTGCCCAAGTCCATAATTTTTAAAAGCTGGAAAGGGTACCTTAAAACAAAAGTTACCTAGCCCAACCCCCTCATTTTACAGATGGGGAAACTGATGCTAAGAGAAGGGAAGTGAGTTGTTGCCTGAGTCCCCTATAGGTTAATATAGATCACTGAGCCCCAACCCCACCTATTTTTACAGATAGGGAATAGTTTAAAAATGACTTGCCCAGAGTCAGGTTGGGTTCAGGAGGAAGACTGTCTCTGAAAGTAATGGAAAGCCTTCCTGAATTGAGGGTGTCTCCCAGGACTGAGGGAGACTCCCTCTGGGATGAGGGTGTAGCCCAGAGGACCTTTATATATGATGTTTCACAGTTTACAAAGGGCTTTCTTTCCTCACAAAAGCCTTATGAGGTAGGCAGTGTTAGCTCCTATGTTATTACATCCTGTGTTATGGGGGTGGGGGAAGGATTTGCCCACCCCCATAATAGAGCTTCAGAGTCGATACTGGAACTCAGGTCCTGACCCTAAGTTCACTGAATGTTCTTTTCACTATCCTGTTCCTCAAAGAGATAATTATAAAGAGGAAAGCTGAAGATTAGAAAAATGGTGATCTGTGTCCCCCTAGAACATCAAAGAGTTTACTTATTATCACTGACCTGGGTTCAAATCCCTTCTTTACCACATAGTAGCTATGTGAGCCAGGAAACAATCATTAATTAACCTCTCCATGCCCCCAGGCAACTCTGTGAGATTGTATTTGGTGCTCTCCTAGATAGACTAACTCACAAATCCAGTCCCCCATCCCTACTCTGTCTAGCTGAGAGAAAATAGGAAACATGTTTGCAGAAAGGATTGATGGGGAAAGAGAAGGTCTGTGTGCACCAGGCATCATCCAGGGAAAAGCAATACTATATGACCAGTCCCTTGCCCGAGTTTATGTGGTCCAAAGAGCCCTTTAAGCCCTAACTGACATCCCATCTTTTATAGGAAGCCTTCCCCAACCCCTCTGAAATCCAGTGCCTTCTTCCCTCAGCTAAGTGTTTCCCATTTACCCTGTATATATAAATTGTTTTGTATATATTTGTTTGCATGTGTCTCCCCGATCAGATTGTAAGCTCCTTGAGGGCAGACCCTTGTCTCCTGCCTCTTTTTTATATCCCTGGTGTTCTTCACCCCATTTAGGTTGGGGTTTTTTTTTTTTTTTTGGCAGAGATACTGAAGTGGTTTGCCATTTCCTCCCCCAGCTCATTTTTCAAGTATACATACATGCACATATATATATTTCCCCCAATTACATGTTAAAACAATTTTTTAACATTTGGCTTTTTTAATAAAGTTTTGAGTTCCAAATTCCATCCCTCCCTGCCCTCTCCCTGAGACAATAAGCAATCAGATACAGGTTATACATGTGCAATCATGTAAAACATTTCCATATTAGTCATTTTGTACTAGAATACTAGAATAAAAGAAAGTAAAAAATAGCCTGCTTCAGTCTGAATTCAAACAATATCAGTTCTTTCTCTGGGGGACGATAGCATGCTTCATCATGAGTCCTTTGGAATTGTCTCCAATCATTGTATTTCTGAGAATAGCTAAATCATTCACAGTTCTTCATCAAACAGTATTGCTGTTACTTTGTACAACATTCTTCTGGTTCTGTTCACTTCACTTTGCATCCGTTCATGTAAGTCTTTCTAGGTTTTTCTGAAATCATCCTACTTGTCATTTCTTATAGCACAATAGAATTCCATTACAATCATATACCACAACTTGTTCAGCCATTCCCCAATTGATGGGCATCCCTTAGATTTCCAATTCTTAGCCATCACAAAAAGAGCTGCTGTAAATATTTTTGTACAGATAGGTCCTTTTCCATTTTTTTGATGTCTTTTCCAGCTCACTGTACAGATGAGGAAACTGAGGCAAACAGGGTTAAATGACGCACCCAGGGTCACACAGCTAGTATCTAAGGGCAGATTTGAATTCAGGAAGATGAGTCTTCCTGGCTCCAAGCCTGGCCCTCTAGCTGCCCCAGCATAAATAGTAGGTGCTTAATAAGGGTTTGTTGATTGACTTATAGTCAGAAGCTTGAGCCCTGACTTAAAGACTAACTAGTCAGGCCAAGGGTACATGGTGCTTCTATCAATCTCAGGATCCCCTTATGTAAAATGGACCTACTCACTATGCTCTCTGCTCTCCCTTCCTCATGGGGTCCTTAGGCAGAAAGTCCTTTCATTTATTTCAGCCAGTGGAGTTCATTGATTGCTGCACCAAAGGCTTTATGTGATTGTCTGCAGTGGGGACAGAAACATTAAAAGGACATGATGCCACGCACCCAGATAAGTGAAGTGAGTGTGAAACAGTCTTCAAGGGCAGAGAGGAGAACTGACACCCAGGACCCCAGGGAGATGGGACCCAGGACAGAGCAGCCAGGAGGATGGGAAGGCTTCCTAAAGCAGAGGTTCATGAACGGGCAGCTGTTAGTGGGAGGGGTTATTAATGTACTCCCCCCGCAGATGAATCCATCAAATGTGCCTGTCCCCCCTTCAACAGAACTGGCCTTGATTTCAGGAGCCCACCACCACCCTAAGGAGAAGAAGAAATCAGCCCCTCCTGATATTGTCCCTGGGTCTGGGAAGCCAGTGTCCTGAAGGGGGCGGGGAGCCCCAGCTGGGCAGGGGGTAAGAGGAAGTGTGCTGAGTCCAGGGCAGGACAAGTGTGTTAGGAGGGCTGGGGGAAGAGGGCTGCCTTCCTGGGTAGGTGGGCTTGTCCCTAGACTCAGGGTCCCAGGAATTTCACACCCCCAGGTAGCCCTCGAAGACTACAAGAATTGGAATGTCCTCCAATGTCCTAAGAACACCGAAGAAATACTACAGTGAACTGTCCCAAAGAACTCAACATAGAAGCAAATATCTGGAACAGTTTTAACTGGAAGCTGACTCTGGATCCACATGTTCTAGCCGGGCACAGACCATCCAGGTCTGGTCCAACTTCCTCCTTTTTACAGAGGAGAAAACGGAGGCCCCCAGCAAGGAGCCTCGAGATCACATAGCTAGTAACAGACCGAGGCAGGATTCTAACCCAGATCTTCTGGCTCCACACCCAGGCCTTCTTATAGGATACCCCACAGCTAGGAAATTGGGGCCGGAACTTCTTTGATCTTCACCATGCTTTCTTCCAGAGAGTTTTGGGAAGAAGTAAATTCCTCAGGCCTTTTGTAGCCTCTAATTGTACTTTCGTCAGGTAGCCCCAGATTGAACTGGCCATCCTAGGGCAGTGGGTCTCAGTCTGGTCCAAGGTCCCCAAGACCCATTTAGGGAGTCGTCAAAGCTATCTTCATAATATCCTATGATGTTATTTACCCATTAAAATCTCTCTTTATTTCCCAAATACACAGCTGTGTGAAGTCGTACTTTCTTCATACATTTCAACCAAAATAAAATATCTTAACAGATTGAATACAAAAGCAAATATGAGAATGCAGCTGTCTTCTATAAGTCCAGACATTAAAGAAATTTGCAAAACATTTTAAAACAATGCCATCTTCCAACTAAATGTTTATGTTCTGGAAAATAGGGTTATTTTTCATAAAAATATGTTGCTTACGTTAGCATGTAATGGATTTATTTTTTAATAAGTTTAAAAAGTTATCACTTTTATATCTCATATAGTAAATATAAATAGATGTAACCACATAAAGCAAAACTCTTGAGAGGCATCCTCAGTCATTTTTAAGAGTATAAAGGAAACAAAAAGATGCAGAAACAGTGCCCTAGGCACAGAACCCCAAGGGGTCCCTGCCTCAATCTAGTCTAGCTGTAGTTTTCATAGCTAG